CTAAGTGAAATTTAAGTGTTTAGAAGAAAACATTTTGGAAGCATGGAAATTACAGGTAACTGAAACAGCTGCATTATACTAAGCAGATAGATAAAGTGGCTTCAAAATATAAGCTCTTTGATCCACTGAAGTTTTGAAGAATTCAGATAATATTACTCTGATACTAGTTTTTACAAAAGAGGAAAAACATGCTCTTTGGTAAAACTTAGTATTCGATTGCAACAAATGGTGAAGAATACATGCGAGAAATACAGGAAATTGGAATCAGGTAGCTCAGAACTACAACTACTCCTCAGGACTACTATTACTACTTTCAAAATCATAAAAATAGTTGTTTTGGCAACATAGTTAATTCTTAAAGAGAATTCTTAGTAGCACAGTAAATTTTAAAAGAACTCCTTGGTTAATCTCCTCTTTTAAATGCAGTATGAAGACCAATTCTTCCTTACCTAAAAGTATACATGGTGCAAAGACAGGCACTATGAGACCAAACCCTTCCCCTGCTCCCTATCCAGCAACTCAAAAAAACACCTTTAATATTAGCCTCAAACCTGCAGAAGCATGATTAGAGTAAGATGAGTTTTCAAAGTACAAAGTAATTTTGAGGAAAGGAGAATGGGGAAGTCTGGAAGCCACATCTTCTTTATAAGAGCCATTATTTATGTGCTCTGGCACATAAGAAGAAAGAGAAACAGAATAGTTGAGAAAAATCAGATAGCAGAAATATATGGTTCCCAGCGTTCTTCCACATCCCCTTTTGGAAGGGTGCAGGGAGGTTTATTTTTTGCTTGTTTCATTCAGCTGTATCGACTCACATCAGTAGTACTAGACAACACAAGCATTTGTCCTAGCTGGTATGACCAGCCTGGATGATGTCAGGCAGTATCCAGAGGCTGGTTTTCACACAATCAGCATACAGAACTGTAACCAGTGCCTTTTACCAGTAGATGCATGTTACAGCAGAAAAACTGACCTGATTACAGTACTTGAACATTATAATCCTTGATATAGTATCTTCAGAAAAGTTTAGCTATTTATTGGAAGCATATGGAGAAAAAAAAAAAAAAAAAAAGACCTGCACAACATTTCACTGTTTTATTTGCATGATTTACACAATCACAAGTGTCTAATTTTTTCCACTCCCTGTCCATTTACTATCTTAAACATCTTAAGAAAATTGGGTTGTAAAAAATTTGTATCTGAAGCATAAACAAGGGGACACGTTTATAGTAATTCTGCATCTTCTTCCAGGTTGCAATTTTTGCAATCCTAGCCCTACCTTCATGCAAAGGTGGGGAGAAAAAAAACAAAACCAAACCACCAAGAGCTAGCAAAACCAACTCAAAGGTCAGTTTCCCAGGGGGCTGTTGAAAATGCCTGATGGCATAACAAACACTGTGGATTTGTTATCAGATAGAAAATTCCCTTCCAGGGAGAATGATTAAGTTCCACACTAACACTAAGTGGGACATGGCCATGGAGCTGAAAAAAACCACACAGATCTTTAGGTATGTGTAAACACATACGGTGCAAAATAAAATATTTTGCTAACTGCTTGAGATTTTAGAACTTCTTGCCTCATCAGGCAAGAACTCTGCTCTGGGCACCTTTACACAATCAGCTTCAGGGAGGCAATTTCTCCTGCTTCAGAAAGTTTGGCAATGTACTAGCATGGAGCTAAATTTGAGAAGACAGCCTTTTTGTTACAGCAGAGTTTAGGCTCTGAACTGCCCACACATAGCCATCCAGAATTCAGCTGGCTAACATCCAGTCAGCTCAGAAGTTAGCTGCTGCAAGATCACAGCTATATGTACCATGCAGGCACATCACAAGAGGTTTAAGGTTCTTCTGCTTTGGTACAGTTATAATCTGTTAATATGTTTACAATCTAAGTGAACAGTATGTCATATAGTGCTATGCAATGACCCCACAAATCTTGATTGATGCTTCTTTTTCCTTTGGAGTTAACCAGTTATCTGGTTCTTAGTCTAGAGACTTCAGATTGTATGAAAACATGTTTACTTCACATACATCAAAAGCTTACTTTTACAAACTACAACAATATTCTTCTTGAGTATGATCTACAAACAGAGCCACATGTCAGCCTTGAATGGAATTTGGACTGTAGTTGATGAAAAAAAAAATGGGAAAGAAAAGATGAAATATTATCTCATCTTCCTCTAGAATCAGTAAAGAAACATACTGCTCACAAACGATGACAAAAAAAACCCATTACTTGTAAGCAATATAAAGAACAAGAGAGAACATCTAATGGTTAAGCGTAAGTAGAAAACAGTATCTAGAAAAGAAAAAAGGAGTTTGGAATTAGGATTACCCACTCTCTCCTTCCTCCCACAAAGGCCACACTTTTCTCTACTTATTCTGCATCACTCCTCCTCACAACATTTCTTTTTTTTTTTTTGTCTAGACTCTTAAGTTACTTAGAATATTTCCAGCTCTAAAGAAACACATGGACTGACACAATGAGATACAGTAAGTGCTGTTACTAACCATTCAATAAGAACACCTTTCAGAACATTCACCATCTTCGCAGTTCCCTCACAAACGCTGAAAGGAAGAGGTGACAAGAACAACTCTGGCTTTGGGTTACACACGTAAACAGAGGAAATCTGGAGGGGGAGAAAAAAAGAAACAACGCCTTGGTTGAACTCAGCGATCCTTCTACAGACAACTCGCCTCCCCCGGACCAGCAGCGCTGCCCGCCTATCAGGCCGAGCAG